GCACTAATCTGTATGCTTACCCCCTAACAACAACTTCCCCCTCCTTCCAGTACAAACCCACTCCCCTACTAAAATCCCCCATCCCAGCTCAAATCCTCCCTCCCCCTATGTGACCCAAGCACAAATCCCCCCTCCAAAAAAATGTTTCCCCCCTCCTAGCACAAATCCTCTACCTCTCAAATGTCCCCTCTGAGCACAAATTCCCCCCCATCCAAGCACAATTTTTCCACCCCAATCCCCCATTCTAGCACAAATCCCCCCAAATATTCTCCTCCTGGCATAAATACCCCCCAGTCATCCCTACTAGCACAAAGCTCAATTCCCTCCCAAAACAAAAATTTTCCTCCTAGCACAAATCCCTTTCCCCCTTTACCATATCACCTTCTCTAGCACAACCCCCCCTCATAGCACAAATTCTCTTCCCCCCTCCTAACACAAATCCCCCCAGGTCACCACTCCTAGCACAAATCCCCCAAATTTCCCCTCCTAGAGAAAATCTTAACACCTGCCCCCCCCCCCCCCCAAATGTACCTTCCCAACAGGGAGGACTGACAACTCATGGGGCCCCCGGGCAATAGGGGATCATGGGGCCCCTGTGTCCTTGCCAAAACTCAAAAAAGCCTATGAAAAAGGTACCAGGGGCATTTCATGGGGCCCCCCAACTGACCCGGGCCTTTGGGCAGTGCCCGAGTTTCCAAATGGTCAGTCCGCCCCTGCCTACCAATAGAAATCCTCTCCCCCAATCTCTTCATGGTGCCCCCCACCACCTCACTTGATACCACAGTGCCCAGGCCAGCCACCCCTCCTGCCCACCCCTTGTCCTGGCCTTGATGACATCATCTCAGCCTGGGCAAAGTCATTGGACTGGAGCTTAAGGATGGCTTTTTATTGATAAATGGCGGGTCTTTTGGGGAGAGGAATGCTGATACCGTGTATTATAGATGTGCCGGGAATTTATTCATGCTGAATTACTGAACAGTCCACTTTAAGGGCTGCAGCTGGGGCTGATCTGTGTCTGACATTTGTGAACACAGCCAAGAACTGCACAGGCAGCAGGATTAACATGATTCTGTCATCTCTGAGCTGACATCTCAATCCAGGTGATCAATGGTTACTTTGGATGATGCCTGAATAAAGATGGCTCCATCCTGGGGGGAAACACAGATGCAGTCGGGTAATGAATACACTAACATGTTACACATTGCTTCATTCACACAGCACTTGGCAAGAATGCTCTTAACATGAAAAAAAAAAACATCTGATGCTGGAGCCATTTGTTGGCTGCTAAACTGTGTCTGAACCCGCCCGGGAATTATCCGTGTCATCCTTTGGGGCAGCTATTCAGCTGTAAGGTAACATTTTGTGTCACCCGAGGAAAAGAATGCAGCTCCACCAGTCCTCAGATCGCTGTCTGCACATCACTCTGGTATCAACGCAGGACGCCAAACGTGCGAAGTATAATGTCATGACACCATGGACGCCTGAGAGCCACAAATCATAGAGGAACATCTGCTGGATCCTACTGCACTGCAGGAAAATGGTGTCAGTCACGGAAAACGGTCCATATATGTCACAGAAGTCTGTCCTATAAATACACCATGATATGAGATAGATGGATAGATAGATAGATAGATAGATAGATAGATAGAGTGATTGATTAGAGATAGATAGATAGATAGATAGATAGATAGATAGATAGATAGATAGATAGAGTGATTGATTAGAGATAGATAGATAGATAGATAGATAGATAGATAGATAGATAGATAGATAGATGATAGATAGATAGATAGATAGATAGATAGATAGATAGATGGATGGATGGATAGATAGATAGATGATAGATAGATAGATAGATAGATAGATAGATAGATAGATAGATAGATAGATAGAGTGATTGATTAGAGATAGATAGATAGATTTGATTGATTAGATAGATAGATAGATAGATAGATAGATAGATAGATAGATAGATAGATAGATAGATGATAGATAGATAGAGTGATTGATTAGAGATAGATAGATAGATAGATAGATAGATAGATAGATAGATAGATAGATAGATGATAGATAGATAGATAGAGTGATTGATTAGAGATAGATAGATAGATAGATAGATTTGATTGATAAGATAGATAGATAGATAGATGTGACTCCAGCACTCAGTCTTTTTGGGGAGGAGTCTATCAGCATGGCACATCTTGACTTGGCAATATTTGCCCGCTCTTCCTTGCAAAAACACTCCAAATCTGTCAGATTACGAGGGCATCTCCTGTGCACAGCCCTCTTCACATCACCCCACAGATTTTCCATCGGATTCAGGTCTGGGCTCTGTCTGGGCCATTCCAAAACGTTCTTCTTCTTCTGGTGAAGCCATCCTTTGTTGATTTGGATGTATGCTTTGGGTCGTTGTCATGCTGAAAGATGAGGTTCCTCTTCATGTTCAGCTTTCTAGCAGAAGCCTGAAGGTTTTGTGCCAATATTGACTGGTATTTGGAACTGTTCATAATTCCCTCTACCTTGACTAAGGCCCCAGTTCCAGATGAAGAAAAACAGCCCCAAAGCATGATACTGCCACCACCATGCTTCACAGTGGGTATGGTGTTTCCTTGGTGATGTGCAGTGTTGTTTTTGCGCCAAACGTATCTTTTGGAATTATGGCCAAAAAGTTCAAGCTTGGTTTCATCAGACCAGAACACATTTTCCCACATGCTTTTCAGAGACTTCAGATGCATTTTTTTCAAAATCTATCCGGGCTTGGATGTTTTTCTTCGTAAGCAAAAGCTTCTGTCTTGCCACTCTACCCCATAGCCCAGACATATGAAGAATACGGGAGATTGTTGTCACATGTACCTCACAGCCAGTACTTGCCAGATATTCCTGCAGCTCCTTTAATGTTGCTGTAGGCCTCTTTGCAGCCTCCCAGACCAGTTTTCTTCTCAACATTTCATCAGTTTTGGAGGGACGTCCAGTTTCTTGGTGATGTCACTGCTGCACCATATTTTTCTCCACTTGATGATGACTGTCTTTACTGTGTTCCATGGTATATGTAATGCCTTGGAAATTCTTTTGTCCCCTTCTCCTGACTGATACCTTTTAACAATGAGATCCCTCTGATGCTTTGGAAGCTCTCTGCGGACCATGGCTTTTGCTGTAGGATGTGACTAAGAAAATGTCAGGAAAGACCTACTAGAACAGCTGAACTTCATTTGGGGTTAATCAGAGGCACTTTAATTTATGGCAGGTGTGTACTGACTCCTATTTAACATTACTTTGATTGTGATTGCTTAATTCTGAACACAGCTACACCCCCAGTTATAGGAGGGTGTGCACACTTATGCAACCATATTACGTTAGTTTTTTTATGTTTACTCCCCCCCTAAAAAATTTCAGTTCGTTTTTCAATTGAGTTGTACAGTTTATTGGTCACATTAAAGGCGGAAAAAAGTTCTGAAATGATTTATCTTTGTCTCATTATATTACATCACAGAAACCTGACATTTTAACATGGGGTGTGTAGACTTTTTATATCCACTGTAGATTGATTGATTAGAGATAGATAGATAGTTTTTTTTTTTCAGTGGGAACGCAGGGGAAACGGCACCTCCAGCACAGAATGTATGGGGGCCTGGGGTGTGCTTGAGGGTCTGTTGATGCTGACCATTGGGAATCTGTTGTAGCAGGGGGCTGCAGTGCAGTAATGGAGGGGGGGGGGTCTATTGATGCCGGCTACTGGGGATCTATTGTTGCCAGCAGGGGTCTTTTGTTGCTGGTGGGGGATATTTTGCTCTGAGGTTCTTATGTTGTTTAGGGATCCACTGTTAAAGGGGGTGGGTGTATTGATACAGTCTGCTGGGGGATCTGTTGTTTTCATCAGGGGCCTTTTGTTTCTGGTGAACTATTGTTGCTAGCGGGAAGCTATTGTTACTGGGAGTGTATTTTGTTCTGGGGGGGACTATTGTTACTGGGAGTGTATTATATTTCTGGGGGGGGGTGTTATTTTTGCTGTGAAGGATCTATTGTTACTGAATGTGATCTGTTGTTGATGTGGGATCTACAGTATTATTACCCAGTTCCATACAAATTATTTAACAAAGCACAATGATACTTGGTGCTGTATTCTCTAAATGGAGCGGTACTAAGAGGGGGATAAGGGGCAGAGACAAGGGGCGGTGCTTAGAGATAGGTCAGGGTCACCTATTCTTTAAGGAAAAAAGTCCTGGATAGATAGATAGATAATAGATAGATAGATAGATAGATAGATAGATAGATAATAGATAGATAGATAGATAATAGATAGATAGATAATAGATAGATAGGTAGATAGATAGATAGATAGATAGATAGATAGATAGATAGATAGATGATAGATAGATAGATAGATAGATGATAGATACATAGATAGATAGATAGATAGATAGATAGATAGATAATAGATAGATAGATAGATAGATAGATAGATAGATAGATAGATAATAGATAGATAGATAGATAGATAATAGATAGATAGATAGATAGATAGATAGATAGATAGATAGATAGATGATAGATAGATAGATAGATAGATAGATAGATAGATAATAGATAGATAGATAGATAGATAGATAGATAATAGATAGATAGATAGATAGATAGATAGATAGATAGATAGAATACATATAGATAGATAGATAGATAGATAGATAGATAGATAGATAGATAGATAGACTAGAGATAGAATATTCTCATTTATATTGTTACAATTTATTTTTTAACAGTTTCTTTCATTTAATTCTATTGCTAAGGGGGCTAACTAGTCAAAAACCAGGGATCTATTAGACCCCCAATGTCTCTCCTGCCCTCCAATGCCGCTAATCAAGTACAGATAGTGCTTGGTTAGCTGCTACCTTGCCTGCAGTATCTGGGGAATAAAATAACAAAAGTGGCTTCCATGTTCATCAATGGCAGAGGAAATGGAGGAATAAACGTTCTCCAAGCTCCTCCTGCTCATAATGTTAGACTAGTTCACTGTTGTCCTGAGCAGGGGCGGACTGACAACTCATGGCGCCCCCCGGGCAATAGGGGATCATGGGGCCCCTGTGTCCTTGCCCAAACTCAAAAAATCCTATGAAAAAAGTACCAGGGGCATCTCATGGGGCCCCCTACTGTCCCCCGGGCCCTCGGGCAGTGCCCGAGTTTCCAAATGGTCAGTCCGCCCCTGGTCCTGAGCGCCCCAGAGGAACAGGAGAGCCTGGGAAGCACCGCGGGGGTGGGTACCCTCAGATCCCATTACAAGTGATCACTTTTACAAGAAGGCCAATCACCAGTTTTTCTAAAAAACCAATATCCAGTTCACATCTGAAGCAGCCGTCATGAGCTTACTTTTAAACTCCATTCACACCTGAGCGACTTTGAATTGCGGACGGAACCTCGTGATTCTGCGGCAATTCCAAATTGCGCTATAATCGCTGCAAAACGCGCAATGCGGGTTTGGGTGTCATTTATTCTTAATGACAGCCTAAACGCAGTGCGATTGTGCCGCGATTGCTAAATGACAAGAGTTTGACACGTAGGGGAAGGGGCTGTCCTATGCGTATAAGTGTTTCACAGTACTAAACCTTTCCTCCAATTTCTACATTGCTGCATTTGTAAATTCTAAAAAGCCAATATAAATGGATAGTATCTTTTTTTGTATAATTCTCCTTTAAGGGGGGCGTGGCAGGGGGTGTGTCCTATACCTACATACTTTTGCTAATAGGTGTCCCTCATTCCCATCTCAGAAAGTTGGGAGTTATGTTTGACTGGATAGTTGACCTTCCTTACTGCGGTGATAAACCCAAAATCAAACATTTATATTTTTGCAGCTTACCAATTTTTAGATTGGCTGCATTAGTTTTTCTTTTTAGACTTTCTTTCTATTCTATTTTCATCTAGTGATCCAGCCAGCAAGTCTGTTGTTTTGCAAAAGCACTAGCAGAATGTATCAGTTTACATGGATGAGACATACCATTTAACACTGACAGGAGTGTATAAAATGACCAGTTTTTTATTTATTTATGTAAAACCTTTATCACAAAAGGAAAAAAGAACTGTTAGGGCCCTTTCACATCGAACGCAGTGGAATGCAGTTGGCTGAAGTTGGCTGCATTTTGGACTGCACTCAAACTGCATAGACAGTCCAAAATCCAGACCATGCTATGGGCATGGTTCACACCATTGTAGTGCAGTGCAACGCAGTGCGGAAAGTACAACATGCTGCATTTTTTCCGCACCGCAAATGCAAAAAAATGCATGCAAATGCAGTGCAATGCATCACAGTGCACATAGAAGCCCAAAGAAAGAAAGAAAGAAGGAAGCGACCCCACAGGACAAAGGCAGATAGAAAAATGTGCATCAATTGCATGTAAAATGTGTTAACTGCATGTACAATGCGCATCAATTGCATGTAAAACGTGTGTCAACTGCATGTACAATGCGCATCAACTGCATGGAAAACGTGTCAACTGCATATACAATGCGCATCAACTGCATGGAAAACGTGCGTCAACTGCATGTACAATGCGCATCAATTGCATGTAAAACGTGCGTCAACTGCATGTACAATGCACATCAACTGCATGGAAAACGTGCGTCAACTGCATGTACAATGCACATCAATTGCTTAAAAACGTGCGTCAACTGCATGTACAATGCACATCAACTGCATGGAAAACGTGCGTCAACTGCATGTACAAAGCTCATCAACTGCATGGAAAACGTACGTCAACTGCATGTACAATGCGCATCAACTGCTTGGAAATTGCAACTGCATGTACAATGCGCATCAACTGCTTGGAAACCGTCAACTGCATGTACAATGCGCATCAATTGCATGTAAAAACGTGCGTCAACTGCATGTAGAATGCGCATCAATTGCATGTAAAACGTGCGTCAACTGCATGCCCAATGCGCATCAACTGCATGGAAAAACGTGTGTCAACTGTATGTACAATGTGCATCAACTGCATGGAAAACGTGAGTCAACTGTATGTACAATGCGCATCAACTGCATGGAAAACGTGCGTCAACTGCATGTCCAATGCGCATCAACTGCATGAAAAACGTGCATCAACTGCATGTACAATGCGCATCAACTGCATGAAAAACGTGCATCAACTGCATGTCCAATGCGCATCAACTGCATGGAAAACGTGCGTCAACTGCATGTACAATGCGCATCAACTGCATGAAAAACGTGCATCAACTGCATGTACAATGCGCATCAACTGCATGAAAAACGTGCATCAACTGCATGTACAATGCGCATCAACTGCATGGAAAACGTGCGTCAACTGCATGTACAATGCGCATCAACTGCATGAAAAACGTGCATCAACTGCATGTACAATGCGCATCAACTGCATGGAAAATGTGCGTCAACTGCATGTACAATGCGCATCAACTGCATGAAAAACGTGCATCCAATGCATGGATAGGTACAAGGTAAAAAACGCACAGTTGCTTGCAGTCTCTGGTGTGAATGGATCCTTACTCTAACTGATTATAAAGTGTGAGCTGGAGTTCGGCTTCCACTTGTTTAGTGTATTTAAATCTGCTAGTCCATCTAACACTCCCCTCCCCCCCCCGCCAGACTGACATTGCTTCTGTCCGTTGTGACTCCTGTGACCTTTCTTCCAGAGTGGTGTGTCACTAACACAGGAGGTGTATTATTGGCCAGATCACCAGGTGAAAACAGAAGAGAAAAGAGACTAAAATAAAAGAAAACTAATGCAGACACCACATCTCATGACTGGTAAGCTGCAGTATATTACTTTTATATATTATTATTTATTCATATATCAATTAGAACCCCCCCCCCCCCCCCCCTTCATCACTCCACACCTCTTAGGTAACCAGTGGGTACATTATATCCCCATACAGCAGAGACAGGCCCATCACTTTCCATAGGAGGGGGGTATGGGGGTCATCGGAACTACTGAAACTTTGTTGCGTCATCCTTACAGGATGCTGAGTGATTCCTGTTGTTTGAGTGTAAAATTGCTGCAAAAACAGAACAACCCGACAGGTGCTGAGCCGCTATGGGAAAAACACGACCACATCGCAGTCCCTGCAGGGGTTTGTTGGTGAGCGGAGGAGGGGCGACCTATAGATCTACCTATGACATAGGAAACAAGTTATAGCCGTCACATTCCATGCAGAACGAGGTGACCTTTTATTTTATAAAGACAAAAAAGAACTTCCTTCACGTAGCTGAGCTCAGGAAACAAATGGTCCAAATCCATTCATTATTATTCTTCATCCTTGGTGTGCCTCTGTGCAGTGAGAGACTTCCTGTAATACAGACCGCTCGCTGCTGCTCTCTCCTTGTGCAGAGCGACTGGTCTTGTCTCCGCCCTGTAGTGGGTGGGGCCTGCTAGGCTCCTCCCACCGCTCTGCTCCCAGCACAGGCTACATACAGCACAGTGATGATGTCGCTGCTACTTTTACAAGGTGACATCTGGGTTTGCAAACACATTCAGTGCACACAAAGTGCGTTTATATCCGTTGTGGCTTTTGAGGAATCTATTTGGATTAATAGAGAGCCATTTATTCCAAACGGTTCCCAGTCCATTGTTGCTGTTAGCAAATAACCACTTGTGATTTTCTGAGTGAGATTGCGTCCCGTGCTGCCAGGTTGAGATCTGTTCTCATCATGAAGTCCTAATAAATGTCTTCAAATTGTACTTTTACTTAAAGTGTTACTAAACCCACAACAGTACAATCAGTCTGTATATGCAGGAAAGCATGCTTGTTATAGTCACTGTGGGACCTAAGGGGTTACTAAACCCTGCATTCACTATATCCGCTCTCCCCGGACCCTGAATTCACTATATATGGTCTCCCCGGACCCCGCATTCACTATTCCGCTCTCCCCGGACCCCGCAGTCACTATATCTGGTCTCCCCGGACCCTGAATTCACTATATATGGTCTCCCCGGACCCCGCAGTCACTATATCTGGTCTCCCCGGAACCCGCATTCACTATATCTGGTCTCCCCGGACCCTGCATTCACTATATCTGGTCTCCCCGGACCCTGCATTCACTATATCTGGTCTCCCCGGACCCTGCATTCACTATATCTGGTCTCCCCGGACCCTGCAGTCAGTATATCTGGTCTCCCCAGACCCTGCATTCACTATATCGGTCTCCCCGGACCCTGCAGTCACTATATCCGGTCTCCCCGGACCCTGCATTCACTATATCCGGTCTCCCCGGACCCTGCATTCACTATATCCGGTCTCCCCCGAACCCTGCATTCACTATATCCGGTCTCCCCAGACCCTGCATTCACTTTATCTGCTCTCTCCCCGGACCCTGCATTCACTATATCGGTCTCCCCGGACCCTGCATTCACTATATCTGCTCTCCCAGGACCCTGCATTCACTATATCTGGTCTCCCCGGACCCTGCATTCACTATATCTGCTCTCCCCGGACCCTGCAGTCACTATATATCTGGTCTCCCCGGACCCTGCAGTCACTATATCTGGTCCCCCGGACCCTGCATTCACTATATCTGGTCTCCCCGGACCCTGCAGTCACTATATCTGGTCCCCCAGGACCCTGCGTTCACTATATCTGGTCTCCCAGGGCCCTGCATTCACTATATCTGGTCTCCCAGGACCCTTCATTCACTATATCTGGTCTCCCAGGACCCTGCAATCACTATATCTGCTCTCCCGGACCCTGCAATCACTATATCTGCTCTCCCAGGACCCTGCATTCACTATATCCGGTCTCCCCGGACCCTTTGAGATGGCTGAAACATTTCGGCCGAAAACCCCCCTATCATCCTTCGGCCAATATGAAAATAACCCCCTCGCCTCCAGCCACCGCCCAGTGGTTCTCAGCCTTACCTGAGAAACCCATTCAACGATCCCGGCGCTGGGCATAGAGATCAGTGAAGGAAAGATGACCTCCACTCATGCACTCATCTCTATGCCCTTGGAGGACCGGAGCCACGTCATTACGTCACTTACAGTTCCGGCGCCTTGCAAACAAGTTTTTTGTAACAGCTTCCCGTCTGCTCTATAGCAGAAATACTGCTACAGGGTGGCACGGGTGCTCAAAATCACGTATATATACATGATTTTGCATTTCCGGGTAGGGGGGCGCGCACAAGCAGTGTGCACGACCTACTCATGCCACCGTTCGCGGCCGCAGCTGTCAGTTGGTGATTACTCGCTGGCACCCGGTGATTACCGAGGATCTCCAACGGAGAGGAGAACTGTTTCATTTACTAACAGTTCTCCTCCCTGTCAGCTCGGGCACACTGCTTTGGATGGCTGTGCACAGCACAGCCATTTAAACAGTGTGCTTACAGTGAAGCACCAACACACCGTACCCCTAGTAAAACACTCCCAGCACACAGTTAACCCTTTGATTGCCCCTCATGTTAACCCATTCAATAAACTTTATTTAACATGTTAACCCCTTCAATTAAACAATACAAATCTCTCCCCTGTCAGCTCCAGCACACTGCTTTGTATGGCTCTGCAGAGCCATACAAAGCAGTGTGCTTACGTGAAACACACACACACAAGCCACATAGTAAAACAGCACACAGTTAACCCTTTGATCGCCCCACACGTTAACCCCTTCCTCACCAGTGCCATTAGTACAGTGTTAGTGCTTTTTTTTTTTAGCACTGATCACTGTATTGGTGTCACTGGGGATGGCAGTTACACCAAGTCAGTTCCCTCCCCAGTGTCAGAATGCCCGCCCGCAGTCCCGCCACAAGTCACTGATCGCCGCCATTACTAATAGAAAAAAAAAAAAAAATCCCAGTATCTATACCGCCATTTGTAGACGCTATAATGTGCACATAAACCAATTAATTTACACGTATTGGGATTTTTTTTAGCAAAGACATGGAGCAGAATACATTTTGGCCTAAATTTATGAGGAAATTAGATATTTTTACTGGACATGTTTAATAGCAAAAAGTTAAAAATATTGTTTTTTTCTCAAAATTGGCGGTCATTTTTTTTTTAATAGTGCAAAAAATAAAAAATGCACAGGTGATCAAATACCACCAAAAGAAAGCTCTATTTGTGGGGAAAAAAAGGACGTAAATCTCATTTGGGTGCAGTGTTGCATGACTGCGCAATTGTCAGTTAAAGTAACGCAGCACCGTAACGCAGAAAAATGACCTGGTCAAGAAGGGGGGGGGGGGGGGGGGGGGGGAATCCTCTGGAGGGCGAGTGGTTGTTATAAACACTAGATGAATACTTTTTTTGATCCAATGCTTTAGTTTGCAGAGGAGAGATGTGGGATCTCATTGACCCCATACCTCTCCATAAAGAGGACCTGTCACTAATTATTTCTATCACAGGTGATGCTTGCATTTCTTGTGATAGGAATAAAAGTGATTTAAAAAAAATTAGAGGGATAGTGTAAAAAAAGTATTAATAGAAGAAAAAAGTTTAAAGCGCCGTCGTCCCAACGTGAACGCATATGTAGGCCACACCCACATATGTAAATGGTGTTCCAACCACACATGTGAGATATCGCCACGAATGTAAGAGCAATAATTCTCTCCTCCTGTAGACCTCCTCTGTAACTTTACACTGCTATCCTGTAGACATTTTTAAAGTGTCCCCCCAGGGAGATTTTTAAGTACTGCAGTTTGGCGCCATTCCACGAGCGTGCGCAATTTTAAAGCATGATATGTTGGGTATCTATTTTCTTGGCGTAACATTATCGTTCATATTTTACAAAAAAATTGGGTCATATATTGTTTTTTTTTAATCATTACAGTGTATTTTTTTCTAAAAAAATTGCGTTTGAAAAATATATAAATTTTTAAGAACTATTGGTTTCGGTTTTAAAGCGTGACCTGTTGGGTATCTATTTTCTCGGCATAACATCCTCTTTAATATTTTACAAAAAAATTGGGGTATATATTTTTTTTTTGTTTTAATCATTACAGTGTATTTTTTTCTAAAAATAATTGCGTTTGAAAAATATATTACTTTTTAAAAACTATTTGTTTCTGTTTCGGTTTTAAAGCATGACATGTTGGGGATCTATTTTCTTGGTGTAACATCATCTTTCATATCTTACAAAAAATTGGGGGTATACACAGGTGAAACTCGAAAAATTAGAATATGGTGCAAAAGTTCATTTATTTCAGTGCAGCAACTTAAAAGGTGAAACTAATATATGAGATAGACTCATTACATGCAAAGCAAGATAGTTCAAGCCGTGATTTGTCATCATTGTGTTTATTGTGTTTTTTTTAATCATTACAGTGTATTTTGTACTAAAAAAAATTGCGTTTGAAAAATCTGTTCATTTTTAAAAACGATTTGTTTTGGTTTCGGTTTTCAGCCAAGTGCATCCTGAATTTTTGGTTTCGGCACCAGAATTTTCATTTCATAGTGTATATAGTAGAGCACACCGGGACCTGCAATGGTCGCCCCCCCCCCAGCCACCTAATCCACAAGTCCCAGCATGTACTGAGCCCACGGTGATTCAACATCATTCTAGAATCTCACACTGAGTGTTTGTTATCTGGTCTACGTTTCGTCACACATCAGCCCCGCATGGTTTCCAGTGCTGTGTCTCTGCACGTCGCAGGAGTCATTTGCGATATACAAAGGATATTTATTGAACAAGATTCTGCCCCCTACAGGAAAAGCTTGACTTCTCGCCTTCCATCACCCCCTGTAAGCAACCGGGCGGCCGTGTGATGAAACGCTGTGGATGTCGCAAGGAGAACAAACGCGGTCACGGGGAGAGATGGCGAGGAGTCGAACGATTTAACCCTACGATGATCACATGACAGTATGTGCCAGCAGAAAATCGAGAAGACACCCGTACCCTTCCCCCACAGTTATTACTTTTATCTAGTATAGCAAAGGGCGCTCAAACAATCACACGTCGTCTTTCACTGATCTGGTTACAATGTTAAGATATGGTGGCAAGGAGTAGCTGAACGTTGCAGTCATTTGCACTCATAGAAAAAAAAAAAAAATCACATCCTTTTAGATGTCCATACACGTTACAATCTGATTGTACAATCTTCAGTTATGTGGTGCATGGATCCGCCTGATTGGATACAAATTGTTAACCAAAACTATGTAATATGAAGGACTACCTAAACGATCCAATTCATTTCTATCCAACCAGACAGGCCGTTGTGTGCTGCTTGATGATCTATTTAAAAGAGATTGTACAATCAGATTGTAATGTGTGTGGCCAGCAGGGGTGGACTGACAACTCATGGGGCCTCCGGGCAATAGGGGATCATGGGGCCCCTGTGTCCTTGCCCAAACTCAAAAAAGCCTATGAAAAAGGTACCAGGGGCATCTCATGGGGCCCCCTACTGACCCCGGGCCCTCATGCAGTGCCCGAGTTTCCAAATGGTCAGTCCGCCCCTGGTGGCCAGCCTTATGCAGGCCATAGACTGCTCAAAAAATCGGTCGTTCGTTAAACCGACATAACCACCAATGATTACGAAAATAGGCCGACCAAGCCATAAAGTTCACCCCATATAACAGGAGAAACTTCTGTTCCTTCCAGGTCACGGCTCATGCGCATATTTTTTTCGTAAAAACGATCGTACGATTTGACATTCATTGACGCAAAAATCAGTTGTTTTCCACGAATTTTCCAACATGACCGATAATCCAAAAGTGGAAAAAAAACGTGAAAAACCAGCGGACGAATTAACCCACTAACAGTGTGAAAATCAGACGATTAATCTTTCGGACGAAAAATCGGCCGATTTTCGAACTGTCTATGGTCGGCATTATATAAACTTGATAAAGCTAAAGCTGATTGTACAAAGATTGCATGGTCAAATTGTAATGTGTATAGTCAGCCTGATGGAGATCATACAATCCAGTTGTAGCCAGGGGCGGACTGACAACTCATGGGGCCCCTGGGCAAGAGGGGATCATGGGGCCCCTGTGTCCTTGCCCAAACTCAAAAAAGCCTCCAAAAAAGGTACCAGGGGCATTATCATGGGGCCCCCTACTGACCCTGGGCCCTCGGGCAGTGCTACAAGTGCTCGAATGGTCAGTCCGCCCCTGCTTGTAGCCAGGAGCGGACTGACAACTCGTGGGTCCCCCGGGCAATAGGGGATCATGGGGCCCCTGTGTCCTTGCCCACACTCAAACCACACCCAAAAAAGCCTATAAAAGGTACCAGGGGCATCTCATGGGGCCCCCTACTGACCCCGGGCCCTCGGGCAGTGCTCGAGTGATCGAATGGTCAGTCCGCCCCTGGGTGTAGCATACGTGGCCAGCCAAAGGCTTACCATACAATCTGACCGTACAACCTCAATCAGCCTTAAGCCAGAGACAGCCAGTCAGGTGAGCGTCCTAGCAGGCATGGAAGCCAGAGACGGCCAGTCAGTTAGCATTTTCAGAAAGAGGATTTCAGCTGGCCATACATTATACAATTTCTGTACAATCTTCTTTAGATTTGCCTTCATGTCGTGTAAGGGCCTGCCTGATCAGATACAAATTGAAAGTGTTGCTTAGGTTTGACCTCATATTATATCCCATCAGGCAGGCCCTTGCACTACATGAAGGTAAATCTAAAGAAGATTGTACAGAAATTGTATAATGTATGGCCAGCTGAAATCCTCTTTCTGAAAATGCTAACTGACTGGCTGTCTCTGGCTTCCATGCCTGATGGGACGCTCACCTACAACATGCAGGCAAATCGGAGAACTTCAAAAGTTGGTCTTTTTTCTTCTGTGATCTATTTATAGTCATATGAATGTTGGATAGTATTGCCCTTAGCAGGGGCGGACTAACCATTTGGAAACTCAGGCACTGCCCGAGGGCCCGGGGTCAGTAGGGGGCCCCATGAGATGCCCCTGGTACCTTTCATAGGCTTTTTTGAGTTTGGGCAAGGACACAGGGGCCCCATGATCCCCTATTGCCCGGGCCCTTAGGCTTCATATAGATGTTTGGTTTGGGAGGGTGGCAAAAATGCATGGTTGAGCTACGTTTTTGCCACTCACCAACTTCCCCCCAATTATGCAGCAATAGGCAGAGGACGGGGGTGTTTACATGCTGCAGGCGTGATCCTTCGCTTTGCACCCGCGACAACAATTACCCGACAAGCCGTTGGCAGACCCGCTGAACGCTACACATTCACGTAAACGGGGAAGCACTGTGCTTTTGTCAGCAAAAATTGGGTTAAAACAGGTGGTAAGGAGCCGTCACATCACTTCCTCACTGCCTGTCAGTAACCTCTGAAGTGTGATCCAAATGTGGATCAGGCTTCAGAGGAAAGGGAGATTTAGTCGGACATCTAAATTTACCCTTACATGATTTTTTTTTGGTTACATTTATATGTTTTTCTTGTAATCTGTTTCATGTATTATTATTATTATTATACAGGATTTATTTATTATTATTATACAGGATTTATATATTATTATTATTAAACAGGATTTATATGGCACCAACAGTTTGCTCAGCGCTGTACAATATAATGGGAGACAACACAGCAACAATACAGTTCAATACAAGAGGGATAGGAGGGCCCTGATCCTCGGAGCTTACAATCTAGGAGGGAGGGGCTAGTGGTACAAAAGGTAGTAACTGTGGGGGATGGACTGGTAGGAAGAGTAGAAGATTCCAGTATTAGCTGAGGGCAGGATAGGCTTCCCTGAAGAGATAGGTTTTCAGAGATCGCCTAAAAGTGAGCAGAGTAGGCGATAGTCTGATAAATTGCGGTAGAGAGTTCCAGAGGATGGGGGAAGCTCTGGAGAAGTCCTGGAGATGAGCATGGGAGGAGGAGACAAGGGAGAGTAGAGGTCATGCGAGGAGCAGAGAGTACGGTATGGGTGGTATTTAGAGATAAGATTGGTGATGTAATTTGGGGCAGAGTTATAAATGGCTTTATATGTTATTGTTAATGTTTTGAATTTTATCCGTTGGGCAATGGGGGCCAGTGGAGGGATTGGCAGAGAGGGGTGGAGGCCAGTGGAGGGATTGGCAGAGAGGGGTGGAGGACACTGAGTGGAGGCCAGTGGAGGGATTGGCAGAGAGGGGTGGAGGACACTGAATGGGGGCCAGTGGAGGGATTGGCAGAGAGGGGTGGAGGACACTGAATGGAGGCCAGTGGAGGGATTGGCAGAGAGGGGTGGAGGACGCTGAATGGAGGCCAGTGGAGGGATTGGCAGAGAGGGGTGGAGGACACTGAATGGAGGCCAGTGGAGGGATTGGCAGAGAGGGGTGGAGGACACTGAATGGAGGCCAGTGGAGGGATTGGCAGAGAGGGGTGGAGGACGCTGAATGGAGGCCAGTGGAGGGATTGGCAGAGAGGGATGGCAGATACAGAACGGTTAGTCTTATGTTTCTCTATGAAAGAAAAAAGTTTTTCAATAACAGTAGCTGAATAGAGAAAGGCAAAAAAAAAAAAACTGCATAGAGAAGGCAGAAAAAAAAGGAGAGGAAAAAATGAGTAGAAAGGGAAAAAGAAAAAAAACAAAAAGCAAAAAAAAAATTAATAGAGAAGAAAAAAGCAATAAATAAATAAGAAATAAAAAAGGAAAAAAAATGAATAGAGAAGGAAAAAGAGTAAAAAAAGCAAAAGAAAAATACTGAATAGAGAAGGAAAAGGCAAAAAAAAAAAAAGAGTAGAAAAAGTAAAAAAAAATTAAATAGAGAAGGAAAAAGAAAAAAATAACCCAAAAAAAACTGAAAAGCAATAAATTAATAAATAAAGAAGGAAAAAAAGCACACAAAAAAATGAATAAAGAAGGAAAAAGCAAAAAAAGTCTGGAGGGGTGGGTCAGCAATTGAGATTGGGTAAGCCTAGCAGTCAGAGATGTTTTTAATTTTGCAAAAGGCTGCGGAGGCATTTTTTGTTAAATTGTCCAAAGCTAGAGTTGGGCTTTAAATTGGTATTCTGGTATAAACCTAACTAGACTTATAAAATGTCCCCTTTTCCCCTCCTAACACCTACGCTGAATATATGTAAAAAAAAATGTATATACAGGATGTATTGATTGATTTCATTTTCTATGGGTGGAAGGAAAGAAAACCACTTTGAAATCGAAACAGTCAGTGTTGCTGGAGGAATGCTTCCCGCAGCGCCAACGTGTTCTGTCAGTAGGAAGCCTTCCTGACTGACAGAACACAATGACTACTGCCAGTGGCTATAGCCTCTGGCAGTAATCGCATGTATAAAATCTGACAGGCTTGGACGAAGGAAAACAAAACAAAACTGAATAGTAAAGGAAAAAGCAAAAAAAAAAGTAAAATGAGTAGAAAAAGTAAAAAAAAAAAAAAAAATTAATAGAGAAGGAGAAATAAAAAAAAAAAAACTGAATAGTGAAGGAAAAAGTAAAAAAAAAAAAAAGTAAAAAACATTAACTAGAGAAAGGAAAAAAAAACTGAATAGTAAAGAAAAAAGCAAAAAAAAAAAAAAAAAATGAGTAGAAAAAGTAAATAAAAAAAAAATTTAATAGAGAAGGAAAAAGCAAAAAAAAAAAAAAAAACTGAATAGTGTAGGAAGTAGGGAAAAAAAAACAAAAAGTAAAAAACATTAACTAGAGAAAGAAAAAAACCTGAATAGTACAGAATAAAAAAAAAAATGAGTAGAAAAAGTAAAAAAAAAAATGTAATAGAGAAGGAAAAAGCAAAACAAAAACTGAATAGTGAAGGAAAAATAGAAAAAAAAGCAAAAAGTAAAAAACATTAACTAGAGAAGGAAAAAGAAAGTAAAATAAACAAAAAAAAACTGGTGAAGGAAAAATGGAAACAAAGAAAAAAAAAAACAATTAGTAGAAAAAAAAAAAAAAAACTGAACAGGGATGGAAAAATGGAAAAAAAAAGCAAAAAGTAAAAAACATTAACTAGAGAAGGAAAAAGAAAGTAAAATAAACAAAAAAAAAAAACCTGAATGGTGAAGGAAAAATGGAAAAAAAGCAAAAAAAAAAAAAAAAAATTAGTAGAAAAGGAAAAAAAACTGAATAGGGATGGAAAAAGGAGAAAAAAAAAAATTAATAGAGCGCAAACCCCCCCCAAAAACAAAGGTCGGTATCTGCCTACTGATTTGGAAGGTAACTCAAAGTAGTGGAGTCGCTGTATCACCATGACAGACATTCAAACTGCATTGGGATCAGCAGCAGCAACCTCCAGGTACAGAACAACGCCGGTCGAAATACGTATTTTAAAGGTTGTACGGACATCAGCGTCCAATCCTACATATCAGCGCAAAGATGGAACAGTGCAAAAATGTATCTAATGCATAAAAAAAGTTTCAAAAGTTACCTCCATTTCCTGTATCTTCAGAGCCGTACCACGATCAGACTTCTGCCGAAAACTGCGAAACTTCTGAAAAGTTCTCGCTCGCTGGCAGTTTCCGCTTCTCGCCTGTCAGTCGCTGCGCTGAGCCTTAGCGTGGTGACCCCAGGCTGTAAGATACGAGGACTGGGACCCTCCCCGCCAAACTAGTCCTGAACCCGAGAGAGAGAGAGAAAGAGAGAGAGAGGAAGGAGGGGAGGGGAAGCAATCAGTGTTTAAATATAGACACAAATCTAAACAGATACTGTGCGCTCAGAATGGCGAGCCGAGCCGAGGAGCCTGCACTGCCTACCGCTGAGCTGCCCATACAAGGGGACACATGTCACCATTTCCTCTCCATTTCCAATGTCTCTTCCTATCCGCCCCACTGCTTTTTTTTTTTTTTTTTTTTTTTTTTACTCTTTAATGATGCAACACAGAAAAAAAAAAATGACGGGTTGCTAAATCCATAAATAAAATTTTCAATTGTTACTTTTAAGGAAAGTGTAAAGATAGTGCAGAGGAATCGCAATCCTACCTCGCAGTGTTGAATTAAGTCCCCGGTCACACTGGATGCAAATCGCATGGCAAGTCGCACCCTATTGTCCGCAATTACAGCGGTCATATCGGCGCGGTTCTGACTTGGTCGCAGCCGCACCGATTTCTACAGTAAATTTCTAAAGTAGTGCTTTTGGTGAGATTTATTTATTTCAGGTACTTATATAGCGCCGTCAATTTACACAGCGCTTTACATATATATTGTACATTCACATCAGTCCCTAACCCTCAAGGGGCGTACAATCTAAGGTCCCTCACCCTCAAGGGGTGTACAATCTAAGGTCCCTAACTCACATTCATACATACACATACTAGGGACAATTTAGACAGGAGCCAATTAACCTACCAGCATGTCTGGGAGGAAACCAGAGTACCCGGAGGAAACCCACGCAGGCACAGGGAGAACATGCAAACTCCA